CATACAAGTTCATTTCTGTACTGCTTCTTAGGGGTCGTGTCACTCACCCTCCACACATCCTTTTGTGCGGCACTGTCCACTTCCCAGTCTGAGCTCCACTCTGAGAGGTCCTGCAGCAGCAACCGGTACGGGAGGAGGAACAGGGCTCACCTCCAGGATGAGAGCCTCTGTGGCTGTGCCGGAGTACCGACACTGGAACAGTAGCCTGTCGGCAGAGCACAACTTTGTGCTATTTAAGCAGTCAAAGGCCTACTTAAGTTTCAGTCCCTTTAAGAGTTAACTCATAGAATGAATGGAAATCAACTACAGCCCAATTGCTTTGTAGTGTGGCACGATAACAGAGGCACTGGTTCTAGATATTAGTCCAATAGGATCGACAGGTTCTCTCTTTCAAGTCCAACATGTACCCACTGAACTGCTTAAGCTTTTTGGAAATTATACCTTAAACATACACTACCAGAAGTATGAACCTTTTAGGGATGGCCGTCATTTTATTTACAGCACATTTAAACAATTTGACTGGCAGTGCTTTAGAAACAGTACATTTACATCGCAGCTGCCAAAGGAGAAAAAAAGTTTACAATACATGAAGCTAAAGGGGGTTTTATATAGAGTTGACTCAAATAAAAATAAATAATCAGTGCTTTTGTGTTCAGAATTTGCCAATTAATGACTCAATTCCCATTTGACAGACTCACTCAAAATGGCTGTCCCTGGTGATTGAGCCTTTTAGGCCAACTCCTACTTCATATGAAGACGACATGTGGTTTTCATAAACAACAAAACCATCCTCCTCCTGTGGGAAGACGGGAAAAAAATGACTATGTTCAAATGATGAATCCGATCAGATTGTATTTTCATATTAAAACTGTCTAGATAACCCTCCACCTACCGTAACTGTGGTGCCACATGCTGTCACAGGGAACTGAAAGATGGCAAAGGCACAGGTGCTGTCGACAGAGGTACAGAAGACATCGTCAGTCTCCAGCAGGTCGATTGAGTCCAGCTCTATAGGTGGCAGGGTGGCATCTCTAGCCACAACCACCACAAACTGGCCATCCCTGGTACACTGCACAGTCACTGGGAGACAAGACAATAGATGGGTGAAGGTCTGCTCAGTTTCACATGTCCACCAACAGGAAAAGAAACCTCACCGAAGCATAAATACCTGTTTTCCCATAGTAGCACCGTAGCCCATCAAAGCAGCAGTTCATTTTTTCACATTGTTCAGGGGTCAAATCTGGAGTCCCACACCGGAGCTTCTGAGCCTCCTCTACCAGGCATTTATCAAGAGGAGCTGCAGTTGGAGGGACATTTGACTGTTGTTGAAACCACTGAAAAGAATGAGAAGTTTGAGGTTTCTGCAGAGGAATCTTCCAGGAATGCTGCGCAGTAACACAACAAACAACCACAACACTAAACAGCAGCTTGAAAAACTTCATTTTGGTGTCAATAACTAACTACACACTGGCCAAATCTACAACAACCACATCTATGGCTGGGATGCAGTCTTTATACGTGATTGATTGTGTGTAGTTCGCTATGAACACCGCCTCTCATTGTTAGTAGTCAATTGTGTGCCAGCCCTGCAGAGTTAATCAGCTGGGAGCTGACAGGTGGAGCTTATTGTCTGCTCATCTGTCTGAAAAGAAGTCATTACACGACTGCTGAGTCAAAGCTGAGTGATTTTTTTTTATTTATTTCTAAAGGAGAATTAAAGAGGAAAGCTGTGAATGGAGTTTCTATTTGCAGTCAGTGAATTTTCCACAGCTGGGTCTGTTTACTCAGAGCTTGAACCTTTGCATGTTTACGCTGAATGTATTATTGTGACCCAACACAGTATTAATTTTTAAAGTGGAAAACATGCTGTATCACACTGACATTTTCTACACTGCCTTCCTCTGTTACTACCAGTGTAAAAACTTTTTCCTTTCCATCTATTCAGATGTATGGGCGGTACACCCAGGAGCTGGGTGTGTTTGCCAAGGAGGAGGCGGCGCGCCTACGTGATGGAGGGGTGCGGGATGGCGGTGGCATGAGGAGGAACGCCAGCGTTCGTAGTCGTGCTGATCTTCTGGAATATGAGAAGGACCCTTGTGCAAAGTGCCAGTGTAAGTGACGATCTCTCTTTTAACCCCTATCCCGCATATTGATTCATAAACCACGTACAGACAAATTTCTACAAAATGTTCCAGTTTTTCTATTTTCACCTATTCAGTTTATCTAAATGATATTTATGTATCACTAGTTCACAACAGTCACTTCAAGTCACAAAGACACTGCAGTACAAGCTACTGTTGTACAGTACTGTGCAAAAGTCTTGAGGCAGTCCTCATTTCTTTGTATTTTGTTGGGAAAATGGGAAAAAGGTGCAGCAATTTATTAAAACGTGCAAACGTGCCTGGAAATACAGTATATCATGCAAAAACAGAGTTTGTATACTTCTAACAAGCTTGAAAGTCAATATTTGGTATGACCATATTTATTCTTCAACAAAGCCTGAACTCTCTTAGGCAAGCTTTCTTAGAATTTCTTCAAGTAGTCTTCAGGAATAGTTCTCCAGGCTTCTTGAAGGACATTCGGAGCTCTTCTTTGGATGTTTGCTGCCTTTTGTTCCCTTCTCTGTCACAATAATCCCGCACTGCTGCCTGAAGATACAATGGTGCTTTTTAAGTTGTCTGCTACGTGTAGATACAACACTTGTTCGTCCCTTGAGTTTGGTGCCTTTTTATCCTTAAATGATTCATAGGTCAGTGTTGAGTGGCTTAACAAAACAAAACAAAAAAATTCCTCTGAAAATGGTCAGCTACAAGAACTGGAATGAACTAAACCGCCAATGTCAATATAAGAAGTTTGAAAGACCTTCAGAAAGCCTGGATTTAAAAAATCATAGAAACACATCGGTATGGTGTAGTGTGGGTAATGTTTTTAAAACTGACAATGATTTAGACTTCAGAGTTTGGACAAACACTGTCAGCTCATGATCTGCTACAACAATACTTTGTGATTAAGAATAAAACCGTCCTTCTCTCCTGCTGGACTCTGCAGAACTCTTTGTAAGGCTGAATGTTTGATACTCCCTCTTCAGACTCAGGCTTGCAAGGAGAAACTGTGCAGGTAGTGCCTGAAGGTCAGACCAATGTAGTGATTAACTATAGTGAATTGTGTGTGTGCGCACCCCTAAAACTGTGATTTCAGCTCTCCACTGAGCGTTAAAGTCGTGTGAAAGCGACGAGTTCTTGAAGTACAGCACAGCAGCTACAAAAGATGGAGAAAAAAGGTCCTACATATTTATGGTTTCCTGATAGTATTCCCGATGGTGTCGGACTTTTACGTCCGATAAAAGTTCCTCAGTTTAACAGTCCCAGCCTGGCAGTGATCAGGACAAAAACTCAGAACTGAGGCTGATAAACGTCTTAGAGAGTAACACCCCCACATAACCAACAAAAACATCATTTGCATTAAAAAACTAGACTTTCCTTACAGAATAGATCATTTACATGTCACAGTAAGATTTTCTAAAAGACTCATTTTGAGTGTTTTTCTGCTCACACCATGCTACCTGCATGCGACTTGTATGCTTTATAAATGAAGCCCAAAGAGAAGAATTAAATGTGTCTGATCTGAGCAACGACCTCCAGACACCAAGGACTGTCTCAATGTCAAAGGCAGGGACAGCGTCCTCTGCTGGCAGCCAGTGGCCCACATTGTGTTTGTCAGTGTGTGAGTGTATCCGATTGCTTCACTTTGTGTTTAGGTTTGTTTATGTGAGCAAAACGCTGATCTGAGCTGTCAGGTTATTTTATGTCTAGTCTTCCCAGATGACTGCAGATAAAGGAGTGGCACCAGCAGAGAGCTCCACTTGAGACCGATGTACTCTACAGTAATGGAGTGTTATGTGTATTTCTGTGTGTATGTGTGCATCTTCCAAATGTGTTTTGAATGACTGTGATATTGCTTTTCAGAAAGTCACACTGTATTTGTCATTTTTCAAAGCTTACAGCTCTACAAATGAACTCATCGTATCTTAATCAATCCAGGCGAAACCTTACAGATAAATACGTATCTTAAAGCTGGAGTGTCTGTCGAGCGAGGAAATGTTTTAGTGTCTACTTCAAGTTGAGTCGACCTTCTTTCCAGAGCCTTGTACTACAAAGTGAGTTTAACACAGCCAGGGGATCTTTTTGTTATCTGAATTCACTTACCCTAACACAGGCATTTGGGATAGGCAGCAACACAAGGGTAACAATCTCACTGAGCTAACCCAGGGTTTCCCTGCATATTCACGTGAAAGAGGTGGTGTTGGCAGCATCTGACCATTCACAAGAATGGCTGAAGAACTTAAACTATACTATGGGAAAAATATGACGAGGTTAAACACAGCAACACAGCTCCTGCAGACAAATCAGCAGTGTGAGTTTGCGTGAGAGGAAAAGCACTTTAGAGTAATATTGTATTAAGAGTGTCTGCTTTAAGTGCTTTGGTCAGTAAGGTTGGAAAAGAGCTGCTATATTAATAAAGTGTAGCCTATTTATAGCCAGGAAAGAAAGCCAGTAAAAAAGCATAGTGTGTGAGTTAACAGACCTATCAATAACACGGTTCTGTCGTTAAGATAAGGGAGAGTGGGAGACTCTGATAGATTATAACGAGTATTTGATTAAATTGATGTTTAAAAGATAGTTTTTGTTTTTGTTCTTTTAGCAGCAGCCTCAGTGGTGTTTAACAGCCTGACAGTAAAGAACAAATACAAAAACTGAACTCAAACTTAGGCTTAGTTTACGTGCAAGTCGAAGATGAGGTCAGCCAGAACATGTTATATTATGATGTCGATATACAGTGGGGCAAAAAAGTATTTAGTCAGCCACCGATTGTGCAAGTTCCCCCACTTAAAATGATGACAGAGGTCAGTAATTTGCACCAGAGATACACTTCAACTGTGAGAGACAGAATGTGAAAAAAAAATCCATGAATCCACATGGTAGGATTTGTAAAGAATTTATTCGTAAATTAGGGTGGAAAATAAGTATTTGGTCAATAACAAAAATACAACTCAATACTTTGCTGACACCATCAGCACTTGCAGCTGTAGGAGAACTTTAATAAAACTGTCTGTGCCCACTCTCTACAGTTTGTGTCAAAATTGTTTTTTTCTGCTTAGACTCCAAATTTGGTAAAGTGTGAACATGCAAACAAGGGCCATGTTTTTAAATTCACTTCAACTTGCACTCATATTTGTCAAAGCAGATGTTTTGACACTTTGCGGATCTGGAGCATTCAGATGTGTGTCTAACAAGATGTCACAGAGAGACGGCACGGCTTTTGGAAGTATTGAGAAATGGTTCTCTTAAGTGTTCCTGTGAGTGGCTCAAAGATTACGGCCATTAAAATCTGTTTTTCAGACCTTTTTCTCGTGTATAGAGGTTCCTCCCAATTCTCTGAATCTTTTCATGATACTGGCACTGCGGTGCAGTGGTCTTAACTCACAACAAGAACTATCCTGTGTGGACTGCATGTTCTCCTTGTGTCTGCATAGGTTTATTACTGGTGCTCTGCCTTCCTCCCACCATCCAAAACATAGATGATGGGTTAATTAGTGATTCTAAACTGGCCATAGATGTGAGGTGGATAGAGGCCTGAATGAATGCATGGTTAAATGTGATCATAGTGTAAAAGAGCTGTAAATGTTAGCCAGTGTCAGTCCACTGTGTACAGAAGATGAAACTCCTTATCAGTATAGCAAACTGTTTAGAGTGGCCAGATCCTCCTTATCTTTACCCATGAAATAAGTAACAATAAGGACTTAATAAGGCAACATGATTGATTATTCCCAGTTTTTGTTGCTTAACCTAATTTCTTTCAAGATATTCCCCACAACACAAGCTTTAGCATCACATACCTTTTCAGTCTTTTGTCTTTATTTTACACTTTTTTTTGGAAACAGGATTATAAATACTTAAAAGTTCCACTTGCAGTTTACCCGATTGTTTTTCAGAGGGGACACAGATTTATTGAACTCTATTAGTAACTGGGGAAAAAAGTTATGTAAGACAAATAACAGAAAATAAAGTGTTAAAATAAATAATCACTCTCAGGGATGACTCTCGACAAGGCAATAGGAGGGAAAGGCAGTGTTTGTTTTTACTCGTGCTTGCGTAAGTGAGCCAGCGTGGCGGCTTTCCAGTATCCATCTCTGCCTCTTTGCCCTTGTGACTAGTGATCTGATTAAAGAGCAATAGATTGCACTATAGGTGAAAGCTGCACTATATCAGCACAGCATTGCTTGCTGGCTGTAATGGAAGCCATTTAAAACAATCAGTCAGATCAGCAGCCAGCCAGAGTGATTTGTGTGTTCACTGTCTGCCGTGTGTGCTCATAGATCAAGAGGTGTTCGTATTTTTAGACTCATCTTTGGAGAGGCGCTCAGGCTGGCCAGGCACCGCTGCTTTCATTCTTAGGTAATGTGTGCTGAGAGAGCCTTCAGATTTGGTGGAAGTGGGAGTTTTAGTGCTTTCCTCTCATGCATCTGTGTGGGAACATCATATCTGTGGGTGATGGACTAGTGTGTGCCTCGGTTCGTATCAGTAGTTGGAGGTTTTTGAACAAGGCAACCTACACATGCAACTAAAGACTGTGCTGCTGAGCTACAAAACATGTACTCCCCTCACTGATTATTTTTGCCTCACAGAGTGAAATGTTGGTGCATTTTTGTAGCAGGTATTAATCAGACCTGGGACTGCAGGTTATTCCAAGGTTCAGCCTCAGTGAATAATATCACAGCTAGTGTTTCACTGTACATTCGAGGACTGTAAATCTTTGAAAAGGGCTGTAGGTGAATGATCTCCTGCATTTTCAACATTATTAATGATTAGGGTGATGCAATGCAGGACTCGCAGAGGTGGAGAAAGTGTCTGGCGTTGGATGTGATTTTTAGTGCGGGATCAGGAGAAGACATCTGTGAACGCCACTGAGCCTGCGGATGTGAGTGTGAGCCAAGATGCACATGGAAGTATGTGGTGGTGCAGGTGCCAGACTCTGTGTGTGTGTGTGT